TTTACATCAATAAATCTCTCAATAGTTACAGCGTAAGTAAGTGCATGTTTTCCTGAACCTAAGAACCTCCTACTTTATACTTGAACTAAGTGAACTAAATGATCTTCTAAAGGTATTGGGAAATAGATGATCCTGAATCCGTCATCCAATTTAAGTCAACATATTTTTAGTCTTTATTCATCATATTGTAATTACTTTCTTCAGTACTGGACTTTTGAATGGAATCGTAGAACCATGAAAAGAAATTGAGAAGGATTTGCCCATTAGAATCAGTGCTGTAATCCATATTAAATTTATTTTATTTATCCTGGGGAAATTTGTTTATCTTTAACAGGGCCATTAAAAAGAAGCCAAAATCATTCACAAAGGCGATTAATGGGGTTATTGAGACCGCAAGAAAAATTCCTTGATTGCTGGGAACAGTGCCCGAGCAGAACAAGGCGTCCCTGCCTTTGCCCCCGTCGCTGAGAATCCAGTTATGGTACTACAACATCAACAGCAGGAGGCCTGACGGCCTACTGGACACAGACTCGATAACCGCAAAAATGAGGAAGGCGGAAATCCATATGTCAAAGCTCTCCTCCCCACGTACTGATACAGTTGCTGTTTTTGACTTGAGAAATCTTAAGTTGCGAACACTTGCGAACACTTCAGCGACCGTCAGAGGCTAGTAGAAGTGACCGACTTTCATGGCTGTATGGGCACAAGAAGTTAAATGTAGCGGTTCTCTCTCAAAATGGCGGTAAAATTGACCAAAATCTCATTTTCTTACAAGTTTTCGAGACGGAGACGGTCTTAATTTCACAAGGTAGATGTACGCCAGACCACGTCTCGCGTAACAGGCTTCGCGATTCTTATTTCCGTTCGTTCGTGCATCAGTGTACAAAACCTATGATACCTTTTCTGTAAAAGACATCATGGGATTTTATGTTAAGGATAAAGTTGTTGATGATGCTTTCTCTGTAGCAAGTGTAGACATTTATAAGGAGGAAAATCTCCTCCCTGTGGCTCAAGTAAAACTTGGTAATACAACTAAAGCCGAACTGAGAAAGGTCACCGTTAGTTCTGATGAAATGAAGCAGCTTAAAAGTGACTGCAGAAAAATTCTAGTGAAAATTTGCCAAATGTTAGTTGATCAATCACCTATATCTAAGAAATATAGGATAGCCAATTTATGTGACATTTTGTTATCCCTCCCTTATTTATAATAACCTTAGTGGCAGTAAGGCTAGACTTTGTAATGCTGTGCAGTCATTCATTCTAAAGAATTGGTTAACTGGATCTGCCTCTGATGAGATAGAGTCCGAATTTAAACGTCTAACCTCTAAGACTAATTTTAAGACTGATTGTAAGAATTATGCTAGAAATGCCCAGAGAATAGACCATTTTTGGAGACTTCACTTGGAGGGCCAAGAAGCATACAAGAATCTCTTCGGCTTTGTGAAACAAGTGTAAATCCTTAGTCATGGCCAAGCGTTCGTCGAGAGAGGATTTTCAGTTAATAAGAACCTTATCGTCGAGAATCAGCCTGCTCACTCGCTGGTTGCTCAGCGCCACGTGTACGACGCTGTGAAGGCAGCAGGCGGTGTGAAATCTTTTGAGGTAACCAAGAAAATGATTTCTGCATTCAGATTGGCTGGAAGTAATCATAAGGAGGCTCTTGAAAAGCAAGCCAAGGAGTCCAGAGAAGACAGCGCCAAGTCTGCCGAGAAGAGGGCTATGGTTGAGAATTTGGCTGAATTAAAGGCCAAAAAGGCTAAAATCGCCTCAGAAAAAACGGCTGAAATTAACGCAAACGACGAGCAAATCTCTGATATGGTAACTAATCTTGGTAAATGAGCTAAGCTAATTTTTGTGTTGACTTACTACTGACTGAAAACCTATTTTTATTACTGTTGTTTTCCCGAATAAAGCAATTTTTTTTTTTGAGTAATAATTATGTCATTTTTGCTTCCTGGGTTTGCTGTATCTAATGCATAACGGTGTCCTATCAAGGGAGAAAAAGTCAGGGAAAAACGCGATTTTTAGGTCTAGAAGTCAGGGAAATGTCACGGGAAATGAGAATGGGGATCCGGTATGAACCCTGTATCGGCTACTACTCCTGATAGAGGGTATTATAGGACATTTTCCAAATTATATTTATTAACTTAAAATATTCTTTCTTCTCTTTTGTAATTTTACTCCTTGGTCTATTTATGGTATTCTTGCACACATTACAGTTATATTCAAGTAATTAACAACTAGGTAGATGCACCCCAGACCACGTCTCGCATAACAGGCTTCGCGATATCTCACGAAACACTGTTACGCTGCGACGCGCCTGGTATTCATCTACCTAGGCCTGCGGCGCTGACACCCGAGTCGGGCAAAAGACCCGGTCTTAAATAGGCCTTTGGCCCCAAAAGTCACATATTCTGTGCCGCAGGGTTTTACTTTGACGAGTTACCCCACCAAAGACCATAAAATATCTGAGAAAAACCATAAATATGTTTTGGGGTGATTTTCATGTGAAGTATGCCCTCTGGCGCCCAAACGGTTAGAGATAGAGCCAAACGGACAACATTTTGGCCCACAGGGCTATACTTTGACGAGTTCGTTGTAAGATAGATTGTAAAAAAAACGTTTTTTATTTAGTAGTAATGTTTTGGGCTTTTGGTTTTTGAGTTTTTGACTCGTCAATGGGGTATTGGTCTAGAGCGCTGAGCAGATGTAAAAGAATAAAAACGGAAGATGGAAAGGGTTGTACAATTTTCGCTTATTTTCGTCAAAAATACCGTCTAGCGCCTCAACTGTTTGAAGATATTTTCAAAAACTGTCATTTGTGGGCCCCGTTGTTTTTATATGCAATTTTTGAGCTAGAATGCTCATCTTCGAACTTGACCTGTCTTAAGATGGTACCAAACTACCTTGAAAATCCCAGGTCGCTCGCTCAATTAGTTTTCAAGTTTTCGTGCGGACAGATACACAGATAGACAGACAGACAGAAAAAGTTTTTTTCCGACCACACGGAGTAATAGGCTTCGCTAATCGCTCAGCCCATTAAGATTGGAGGAAGGGCGTCACAAAGATTCACGTTTAAATAACTGCTATCAACACTTTTGCGCAACACTTTTGATGAAACAGTATTTACTTATTCCCATACGACCTCGATTTCATTGCTGGAGTCGACGATCTCGAGTGTATCACCACTCAGATTGATATCAATTTCTCCATCACTGCTTATGTCGATCACCTCGACATCACCGGTGAAATCAATAGGGTATTCCGCTACAACACAATCGGAATCTAAAGAAGAAAACCATGACTACCCGATCTGTTTCCTCCTGAACGCTGATTAGCCAAAAATGGCGTGGCTGTGGCGGTCAGCCAATGAGCGCGCAGAGGAAAACAGATCGAGCAGTCATGCTTTTCTTCTTTAGGTTCCGGTTGGCTTGCAGCGGAATACCCTATTATCTCAATCATGAGGCAACGACACGAACTGCGCTAAGCAAGGACTAAGACACGACTGAGTGCTCCGCAGTTGCGGGCCGATGGTAGGGGCAGAGTCTCAAGGCGGGAAAGGACGCATCGCCTGGCGCGCTACACCGTTGCCGCGCGTCCGTCCCGGCTCTCCACAAACGTTTGCAGTTTGCATACCCACACGTGCGCGAAATTCAAAATGTCAGGAGAGGGATTCGAGCCCCCGTCTCCAACCGAGGGCGCCCCCGCGCGAAAGGATCAGTAGTCAAAGTGTGCTTGAAACTACAGTTGCAAATTTGCAGTCGGTTACCACAGTTAACAGTGCAATATAAGATTTTTGAAATTAGAAGACAACTCGTAAACGGCGCTGTAGTGTTATCTGCACACCATGGTTCACTTAAAACTACGTTAGGTGCATTAGGTACATTTAGGTGCAGTTTCAACTGAACTGAGACTGCATACACAACTGTATTGAAACTGCATTTTCACCTATTATCACGACAGCAGGACACCCATCGCGAATTTTTAACATTTCAAATACACCATTCTGAACGGAAAAAAACTGCTTTCAGCCCGTGCTATCCGTTTAAATTGTGCGTCCATGACAGTTGTCCAAAGGCACCGTCAAAAACATAATTTGACGGAGGGGTCTGGGTAAACAATCCCAGCGGAACCTAGTGACTTTCAATTAAATACGAGCACGCCAAAAGCTGCGCTTAAAGTGTGCTTTTACACTGTCTAGGCAACAGAAACTGTGCTCGTCTCTTTTTTGGCGAAAAACGACGTGTTTACATGGGTCCCGAAAATTTCACAACAGCGCGACCCATCGCAAATTTCAATTTTTCGACTTTGCGATTCTGACCGGAAAAACTGGTTTTTTTAGCCCGTGCTATCCGTTTGAATTGTGATTCGGTGACAGGTGTCCAAAGGCACCGTCAGAAAACTTAATTTGACAAAGGGGCGCGAGTAAACAAGGTCAGCGGGACCTATCGCGAATTTCAGCAATCCGATTACGCTATTGTAACGGGAAAAAAACTCTGCTTTTTGGCGGTGCTATCCACTTGATTTGTGCGTCGACGTACGTTGCTAAAGAAACTGTCAAAAACGTATACCGTAAAAGTGGCTAATTTTGACCATGCGGGGTAATATGGACCACTCTCGTTCCCCTCCTGCTCGGATAGTGCTGCCACCTATTGGTGGCCGTTCGAACTATTTCTCGACGCGGCAATCTCGTACTAAGGTCTCGCGCGAAGTGTAGAACGGCGGCAAAGTGGTTTCCGGAGGCAGTTCATAGGTAAAAGTTCGATTTTAAACCATTTTTTAAGTATCACGTTTTATCAATTTCGCTACATAACCGTACAAACTTCTCCTGTGGCGATAAATATAAGCATGTCAGACCCCCGACACTTATATTTTCTTATCGAGACATGCTTTGAGGTTAACTCATTCAAATGGGAACCTAAAGGGATAATAATTTCACATTTTATCGCACTTTATCTAAAATTTTGTAACTTTTTAGGCTAATTTGGACCACCCTCAAAATGCCGCGGAGAGCTAGTAAACCACCGCAGAGGATGAAATACTCCGATAGGGCCATTACAAATGCCCTCAAAATGTGCAATAAGAACAACAAGAGCAGGAGCAGCATCAGGAAAACAGCAAAAGCGTGTGGGATACCCAGGACCACACTGAGAAGTAAGCTACTTGAAATGTACCCCAACAAGATCGGCCGTCCTACAGCACTTTCAAACCTTGAAGAGAGTGCTTTATCAGAGGGATTGCAACTGTGTGAGGAGTGGGGCTTCCCTCTCACAGCTGAAGATGTGTGTGATGTTGTGCAGAACTACTTAAATACATGTGAGAAGAGAATAAAAACATTCAAAAACAACAGGCCTGGACGAGACTGGATTAAATCTTTCCTACAGAGGCACCCAGAGCTGTCGAAAAGGTTCTGTGAAAATGTGAAAAGAAAGCGCGCTGCAGTTAGCAGAGAAATTGTCATGGATTACTTCACTAGGCTTACTGTTACCTTGAATGATGTGCCTCCTGAAAACATTGTAAATTATGATGAAACAAATTTCACTGATGATCCAGGGGTCAAGCTAGTCATTGTACGCCGAGGTTCTCGCCATCCTGAACGGGTAATAGACACCTCAAAGTCATCAACAAGTGTAATGTTCGCTGTATCAGGAGATGGAGTTATGTTGCCACCATATGTAGTCTACAAAGCAATTCATTTGTACGACAGCTGGACTGAAGGCGGTCCACAAAAACATGCTATAACAGAACACAATCAGGGTGGTTCGACATGGCTGTGTTTGAGGATTGGTTTTTTAAAATTTGTCTTCCATACTTCAAGAGCAAGATAGGTCCTAAAGCAATTATTAAGGACAACCTTGCCAGTTATCTGTCTGTATCAGTTGTGAAAGCCTGTGAAGAAAATGACATAAAATTTATATTGCTCCCTCCAAATTCCACCCATCTCACTCAACCCTTGGATGTGTCCTTCTTTAGACCCCTAAAATCAGCTTGGAGAATAGAACTTGACGATTATAAGAAGAAAAATCGTGGAGTTTTACCAAAGGCCATATTTCCAAGGAGACTGAGCTCTGCATTGTACGCATTACAGCAAGATCGTCCCAAAACATCCAGTCTGGCTTCAGAGCTTGTGGGCTGGTACCATTGAATCCAGAAGCAGTTCTGAAGAGGCTACCCAAATATGAAAATTCAGAGACAACGAATCCGTCTTTACTAGGTGAATCACTCCTTCAAAATATGAAAAAAAATAGATTCCCTGAAGGAACAACTGCCCCTAGGAAGAAGTCAAAACTGATCGTACAACCAGGAGAAAGTGTTCATGTGTCACATCCCTCACTCAAAACAACCAGAATAAGAAGAACAATAGCAAAACCACAAAGACAGTGCAAGAAGAAAATGAGAGAGTCCTAGAATAGAAAGAAGATGATGTTGATGAAGTGGCTGATATTCAAGCTGAAGAGGAATCTAATAAAGAAAATTGCACCATTCATGACAAAGACTTCGTTTTAATTTCTATTAGAGTTGAGGGAGGAAATGTAGAGAAATATTTTGTGGGGCAAGTTGTCACGGATATTGGTGATGGCTTTTATGAAGTTATATTTTTACGTAAACGTGTAGGAAAGGATCTATATTTTGTATTCCCTACTGTACCAGATGTCTCCAATGTAGATAGATTTATGATTCAACGCAAACTTACCCTTAATGAATCAAAAAGAGTCTGTTATAAATTCCTATCCCTTGAGGACTTTTCTCTTTTAAGTTAATGACTATGGTTAACTTGAATTGACTGTTAAATTTAAATGAACTGATGTTACTGTTTTATTTTGTTGGTTTGAATTTTTTTTAAATTTTACTATGTCAAACCAGAAGATTATTTTTGTTTTTACAGAGCAAATTTTTCAACCAAAGACTGTGTGTCGATGAGTCGATGTAGTTTTTATGAAATTAAGCAAATTTTAATACCCAAGATGAAGTTGTACTTCAAATAAATATTATTGAATTTTAAAATATTTGTTTTAATTTTAAGCCTTAAAAAGTCAAGAAATAGTTCAAAGCAAGCATTTTCCCTACTAGGGCATACTAATCAAAGTTATGAAATGACAAATTTCATAATGATTTGACATTATAATGGATATAATTACAAATTCTGGTCCAAATCAATCTCTTTTCACAAAATATACAAGGGTGGCCCAAATTACCCCTCATTGGGGGGTAATAAGGACAAGTCTTTGCTCCTCCATAACTTGGGATCCAAATGGACTAAAATTATGTATTTTGCGGGAAAACACGCCTTAAGGATGCCAAAACTTAAATATAAGCCCCCAACATGATAGTCCCTATAGGGACAGAGTAATTGAGAAAAAAACTCGAAAAGTGGTCCAAATTAGCCACTTTTACGGTATTTGACGCACAATAAATCTGAGCACGCCAAAAAGTGTTTCATAAACTGTGCTTTCGAACCGTCTAGGCTTAAACCGTCTAGGCATCAAAAACTGTGCTCCACCCTTTATGGGCGAAAAACGACGTAGTTACATGGGTTCCGCAAACTTCATGACAGCTGGACCCATCGCGAATTTTTAACAATTCTTTTAAGCCGTTCTGAACGGAAAAAAAACTGTGCTCTTAGCCCGTGCTATCCGTTTAAATTGTGCGTCCATGACATTTGTCCAAACGCACTGTCAAAAACATAATTTGACGGAGGTGTCTGGGTAAACAATCCCAGCAGAACCTAGTGCCTTTCAATTAAATACTAGCACGCCAAAACACTGCGCTTAAAGTGTGCTTTTACACCGTCTAGGCAACAGAAACTATGCTCGTCTCTTTCTGGGCGAAAAACGACGTGTTCACATGGGTCCCGAAAATTTCACAACAGCGCGACCCATTGCAAATTTCAATATTTCGATTTTGCGATTCTCACCGGAAAAACTGTTTTTTTTAGCCCGTGCTATCCGTTTGAATTGTGCGTCGGTGACAGGTGTCCAAAGGCACCGCCAGAAAACGTAATTTGACAGAAGGTCCCAAATCAACAAGGCCGGCGTTAGCCTGTGACGCACAATTAAGTCTGAGCACGCCGAAAAACTGTTCTTAAACTGTTTTACGAACCGTCTGGGCTATTAAAGCAATGGTCGTCTCTTTCTGAGCAAAAACGACGTGTTTACATGGGTCCCGCAAACTTCACGACAGCAGGATCTTTCGCGAATTTTTAACATTTCGATTACGCCATTCTGAACCGAAATAAAATGTGCTTTCAGCCCGTGCTTTCCGTTTGAATTGTGCTTCAAGGTGTAACTATCTCTCTCTTATTTTTAGAGGGACAAAAAGTTGCTCTTTGTGTTCTGAATTGACTCGTTTCTACAGTTGAGAGGTTGATATTATAATAATGAAAGGGAATGTTGCAAAAATAATGTTGAGAGTGCTAATTTTAATTTAACAGTGTATGAAAACTAATTTATTAGGTTAACCGACACACCGCGGGCAAGGCGTGGCCGGCCGTTCGCTTCCACTCTCGCTCCGTGACTAGGTCTGGACGTGCCGGCGGACTGGCGTGGTTGTCGCCGCCGCCGCTTGGTGGCGCCACTTGTGCTATTCTGCCGACTGGACGGCGCGCTGACGGCGCGCGCGAAATTTTGAAACGGGCGTAGGATGGACAACCCGTTTCAAAGGAGAGGTGTCCATAGGCACCGTCAAAAACATAATTTGACGGAGGGGGCCCCAGTAAACAAGGTCAGCGGGACCTATCGCGAATTTCAGCAATCCGATAACGCCATTCTAACCGAAAAAAAAAAACACCGCATCCGTGCTATCCGTTTGATTTGTGCGTCGACGTACGTTGCTAAAGAAACTGTCAAATGCGTATATTTGACGCACATTAAATCTGAACACTTTAAAAAAACTGCCCTTAAACTGTGCTTTTGAACCGTCTAGGCTACAAAAGCAACAATCTTCTCTTTCTGGCAGGTATCGACGCCTTTACATGGGCCCCGCCAACTTCACGACAGCAGGAACCATCGCGAATGTCAACATTCCGATAACGCCATTCTGAACCGATAAAAAATGTGCTTTTAGCCCGTTTTAGAACGTAATTTGACAAAGGGGCCCCAGTAAACAAGGTAAAGGGGAAGAAACTCTGCTTTTAGGCCGTG